CTTTAGAGCACTTTCTTTTCTTTTTTTTTTGTAGAATGACAATTACACATTTTGGGTTTTATTACTCCCACAGTTCTCATTACTTTTTTTGAAGAGAGTAAAACCAAATGCAACATATCAGAACGAGTCACACTGAATAAATTTTAAGGAAAAGATTTTTTGGTTTCCTCTGGCCCAACGTCCAGGGGCTGCTTCTGGTGATGATTTTCTTGCTGGCAGAGAGCATCATGTGGCAAGAGATGGGGAGACCTAGCCAAACTGACTTTCGTAACAGGCCGTCCTCCAGATCATTCATTCATTCGTGAATGAACACAGAACCTCTTTTGGGGGGATGGGGTATTGCCAGTTGAACCAAGGGCCTTCGCAATGAGATATACGCCTGGTGCCCCCACCCCATAAGCCTACCTATGTCTGCAATTGGTATACTGTTGGAGGTCTGGAGTACGCCTGTTTTTTTTTTTTTTTTGTCTTTTTAAAAAATTTTATTTAAAGAAATACTAAACAAAACAGAAAATAGGTAGAAATAATACATAATTTCAAAGAAAAAAATAAACAGTAAGAAATCACTAGTTGATGATTACAGATTGTCTTCTTACAAATAGTTATTCAAGATATTAAAGTGGAGCTTATAAAGTGGGGATTCAAACAGTGACATTGCAACCAGTTCTGTTCAACTACCCAACAAAAACTTAGAAGTATGGTTATCAATCCTATACACTTAAACATACATGTAGTTATCCATCTCTTCAATTATGTTGAGATTGAATAAACCCAAGCAGGGTAATATCACTCTGAACAAAGAAGAATACTATTGCTGAGTTTCACATTATGACACTCCATGATCAGCACTGGGTATTTTAGTGTCTCTTTTTCTTCAAAGTATCTGTTCATTTCATCATGTGTCATAAGATCTGTCCTCATAAACTGTATACAGATTCTACACATGCATGAGTCTTAACATGTATTTCTATCCTTTCTATATTAGATGGAAAACAAAACAAAGCAAGGCAAAACAAAACATATTCCTATAAACACATGAAACAAAATAAACATTATATGTTTATTTATAAGACCATTGTACAAAAAGTTCTACCATGGTTCCTGTGTTGTCTCTTGTTATCTCCAATAGAATTGGCTAGATCATCAGACATAGTATAATTGAATATGTCAGTACACAACATTAATAAAAACACAACTTTGTATATAGTATAGAACTTCAAAAATTGGCAGTTATCAAACCAGAATGTGTATCATAGAGTCTTGTCATCTTCAGTGTAGTTGCCTATACTGTCAGGCTTGATACTATCAATCATATACGTTTTGAATAAAATTTTCTGTGCCTCATTTCTGTTATGCTCTTTTATTGCTATCAGTTGTCTGCTTATCTTCTTCATTCTGTTTTCTGCTCCATTCATTGAGTCCTCTCTGCCACTGTTCCTGGAATCCTAGTACTTTTCTCTCTCTCTAGAATACCCTGGAGTATTCTCTGGAGAGTTGGATTGGTGGTTGCAAATTTCCCAAGTTCCTCTTTGTCTTGGAAGCATCTTGTTTCTCCATTAATTTCTAGAGACAGTTTATCAGGTTATATCAATCTGGGCTGGAGGTTATTTTCTTTCAGGGCTTGAAATATTTCATTCCAGGCTCTTCTTGACTTGATGGTTTGTGTTGAGAAGTCTGCCGTGATTCTGATGGGCCTTCTTCTGTAGGTTATCTGTTTCTTGTCACTAATTGATTTTCATATTCTGTTCTTATATTGAATTTCTGGGATCTTGATTATTATGTGTCTGGGTGTAGCTTTGTTTTGGTTGTGGGTGGCTGGAGTTCTGTATGCCTCATACATCAGAATATCATTTCCTTTTCCTATGTTTGGGAAGTTTTCCTTAATTATTTCTGTGAATAACCTTTGTAGTTCCTTTGTTTGTACCCCAGCTTCTTCATTTACATTCTTTATTCTCAAGTTATAGATTCTTTTGTCATCTTCTAGCCTTTGTATTGTTTCTGCTTGTTTCCTTGTTATTTTTAAAAAGTTTTCCCTTTCATAATCCCACATTGAAAAATTGTCCTCCAGTTTGGATAATCTATCCTTAGTTTCTTTCAAGCGGATTTGCCATCTTTCCATAGAGTTTTTAATTTCCTGGTGCTCTCTTTGAATCTGCTTCATATATTCTATGTTTTTTTAAATATTCTTCACCAAATGGTTCTCTCCTTTGAGTTCCTCCCTTCTTCCTTCTGTGTCTGCTTGAGAGGTGCTTAGTATCTCTTTTATTAATCTTCTGATATCTTGCTTTATTTGGCTAAATATTTCACTTCTGAACTTGTCTATGAGGTCCCAAAGATATCTATTTATGTACATGGGTGCGGTGTCTGATATTGCATGTTTGCTGTTCTCATTCTCCTTTGTATTTGCCTGTTCTGGGTCCATGTTCTCAGGGTTGGGACCTGAGGACTTTTTTTGTTGCTTCCTCTTCCCATCTTTTTTGCTTCTTCTAGGAGGCCCCAGTTTCTTTCTTTGTTGGTTATAATTCTTCCAAAGCATGCCGGCTAGATGGCCCTTCATACTCTATGCCTGGATTTTTATCAGTAGTGGCACTGCGAATTAGTTTTGTCGACTAGATAACAATATAATTTGACAGACAAGTGGACCCTTGTCTTTGTTGACAGTCCAATCCAAGCCAGCTGTTATGGATTAAAAACTGATGGTCAACTTAATGAGGCTGGGTTAAAGCAGCATGGTGCTGAGTGAAGATGTTCCACCTGAGGAACGTTGCCAGCATAGAGATGTGGTGAAGAAGAGCTAGGTGTTGTGGGTTCTCCAATGTGTTACTGTTTGAGCCATTAGTTCTCCTGGAGGAACTCCTCATAACTAGCTTCTCCAGTGTGAGTTCAACCATTGTCATCAGAAAAGCTCAGGACCTTGATGGTAAGAATGGCTGCGGTTCACTTTGCAGGAGTTCTGATCCTTACACTGAGCATCGCTTCCTGGCTCTAGAGGGGAAGACATGTGCTGTTTAATCTCCAGGACAAACTTGTCATCCTGGCTGTCTGGCATGTACTCAACTGTTCTTATCATTAGAGGAGCTCAGGGTCTCCATGTCGCTGAAGATGGCTGTGGTGTTTTTCAGGACAGTTGTAGTCTTTGTTTTGAGCGTGACTTCTCGGCTCCAGTGTAGAACTCTCAGCCTATCAGCACAGCTCCTTTACCCTGCTGGCATAGACTTTCTAGCTTCCAATGCTGACTTTTGGGCCTTCCCAGCACATATCCATAAAAGAGACTAGTATGAGTCCTTCTTGTGGGCTTTAGACCTCCAGTTGGACTTGTGGGAGGCATTGTCATGGGTTCTAGTCTTCATCTGGACTCATGTAGGACATTGCTGTGGGATTCAGGCCTTTGGCTGAACATTCTATTTAGTGTTGGCTGAATATTCTATTTAGTGTTGTGGACAGATTTCCTGTACTTTCTTGTGTTAAGTTTTGGGTGACCATCATAAATAATATTATAAATTCTGTGTTCTGATTCTAATTGTTCTCTGTACAAACCCAGACTACCACCCCAGCAAAGATTTCTTCAGGCTGTGCACAGTGGCTTCAGAATATGTAAGGCAGTCAGAGGTTTAACATAATATCCTCAATACAATGGAATAGTTGTGGGCCCTGCTGAGCTGGAGATTGATCACACATGCAGGGCTAAAGCAAAGCCAGTCGGAGAACACCAAATGCCTGAGGTGAGCCAGACAAACAAGTTGTTCTGCCAGTAGGAGAAGGATTTCATCTGTTATCAACCTCTTGCTGATTTATAGATAAGTGCACTGCAGCCATTGGGCAGTTCCTCTTCTCCCATCAGCAGAGAGGGCTCCACCTGACCTCAGCTTTCTGCATTCTGGCTCTTATCTTCATTTCTTCATCCTCCACTGTCTTCGCCTCCTGGGAATTTCAAGTGCTGCTCTGACTGCAGCAAATAGTGACACAGAGTGTGACTTGGTCCAGGTGGCCTAGTCTTGGGCTGCCAGGCTATGACACAAAGTCAGGCTATACAAATAGCCTTGTGGCAATGCCTGGAAGGTCCATTGCCTATGCTCCCAAGTGAAGGCAAACTGTCCTTGACTGTCAGGCATGATAGCAATGGAGAAAAGGGCATTAACCAAATCCACAACATAATAATATTGACCCGCTGTCGGGGAGAGATGATCCATCAAGTCCATAATATTAGGCACTACTGCATGCAGTAGGAGTCACTCTATTCAATTCGTGGCAACCCACAGTTATTTCTGCATCCCATCCAGCTTCTGTACAGGCCATACAGGGGAGCTGAAAGGGATACCTGCCAGGTGTATCACTCCCCCTTTGCAGTTTCAAAATAGTTTGCCCTATTCTCTCATGGCTCCCAGGCAGCCAGTATTACCTGTGGGAGAGTCAGTGGTGTGGGGTGTGAATGTCCTCAGACTACGGTTTTTATCATGCAAATTTGCAAACAGAGTTCTCCCTGCAGGGTGTTGACTGACCACCAGTCAGTATGTCCCCTCCAGTATGTATTCAGCAACCCGGGAAATACAGACATCATAAAGGCATGGAGCCAAGTGCCCCATACTGAAAGTCACCTGTGTTCTCTGGACTATGATCACCTCTGTATCCTTCTATATGTGCAAGAGGTCCCATGAAATGGTCCAGGTTGCCATATATTAGCAATGATTTGGCTCCAGTATTCACCAATGCTACTACACACTGTATATTGTTTGGGGGCCAGTAAATGGTCAGTTCCACATGTGCCTTCTGGTCTTCAGGGTCCCTATTAACTGGGTGCCTCAACCTGCTTCCTAATCTGGGGGAAGCTAGTCTTCCTGTTTTACTGGGTTCTGTTTTACCTCTGGGCCCATCAGCCAGTACTACTTGCTTGGGGTACAATTGCTACCACAGAGTCAGCAACACGTCAATGGCTGCCCACTCATTTTATCTGTGGCTAAGCTGGCAGCCAGCAGATCTGTCCAAATTTGATACCAACTGACCTTTGGCTCCCATAGGCTCCCATAGGGTTGCCCCTGCTCGGCTGGAGTCCATTTGCTTTTTTTCTTCCGGTGGTACAGGTGTTACAGGTCTCGCCTTATCTTGATGCTTCACTTCCATGTTCCCCAGCTGGGCTGAGGCATCCACAACACTGTGGATTGGGTGAATTACACATCAAGACCCTGACTCAAAACAAGACAAAACAAAAAAAAATGATTTCATCTGTTTCACTTTCCCTTTTAAAAAACATGGCCACTAGAAAATTTAAAATTAATATATGCACCCTGCAGTATTACTTCTATTGGACAGTGCTGGTTTACACAGTCATTGTTAATTCAGACATTGTTAGTACAGAAAGAAGACAGGGAGACAGAAGAAAGCAAACAAGCAAGCAAGAAAAAAGAAAGGGAGAGCAGCATAAGCGGAAGATTGTTAAAGATGATCAGAAACCTGTTAAGATGGTTTAAAGGTCTTAAGGCTCCTCCCAACACTACAGTGAGCAGGGTGAGCTGCCCCAGAAAAGGAATAGGCTTAAGCCTATTAGAAGTTGATTAGAAAATGCTCTGGTGTTTTACTAAGAAGGCAAAGTACACAGCTGACTGTAGAATTCCATCTGACTTGGGTTGGGGATGGTCTGTTGGACTCTGCAAAGAATCTGTTCCCACGGGTTCAAGGAAAGCTTAGAAACTGCATTGTTTCTGGTGGGTCTGCCTCTGGTAGTTCTCTGAGTCTGGGAACCACTGACTTGAAGATGCCTGCAAAGGCTTGGTGACCTGCAGAAGAGGAAAAAGAGGTGCCCAGAAAGGGCACTGAAATGGACTTTTGAGAGAAACTATCTTCTTCCTGAAAGGAGAAATGGGCTGGGATTTAGAGAGGACAGGTCTCAGGACCCTCCCGGGGGTGCTGTAATAGTCAGCTTTCTGTTTTGGGACAAACTTCCTGGCATTCACGATTTAAAGGAGAAAAGCTTTACTTTGGCTCATGGTTTCGGCGGTTTCAATGCATGGTTGGCTGCTCCGCTGATGTCAGGCTTATGGCAAGACAGAAACATCATGGCAGAACGATACAGAGCAGCAAGACTGCTCACATAAGGCAGCCAGAAAGTATAAAACGGAAAAAGACAGAGAGGAAGGTGCCAGGGGGAACAGATAGAGTCCCTAGGCCATGTGCTTATGACTTACTTCCTCTAATGAGCTCATTCAAGTAGGAACCCATCAGTGAGCAAATCCACTGATAAAGTTTGTACCCCTCATTCAGTTGCCTACGTGTTTGAATCCAATCACAATTGACAAACAAGGTTAACTGTTGCAGGAACAGTGACCTTCATAACGCTTGCTTTTTTTTTGACACAGAGTTTTGCTATGTAGTCTAGGCTGGTCTCCAACTCTTGGCAATCTTCCTGCCTCAGCCTCCTGAGAGATGGGATGACAGGTGTGTGCCATCACATTTGGCTCAACTCCCACCTGTTAAAATCCTCTTCCCTGGGTTAGTGAGTAGGGCCCCATGAATCAGACTTGTGGTCTTCTAGTTTTCTTGTTTACCTGTCCTTCAAAAGAACTTTGAAAAACTACCTAATTTTTCCTACATTTTAGTTGACATTGGGAACACTTAGTCATGAATTTAAACATTTATAGAGAAAGTCAGGTACTGTGGCATGTGTCTGTGGTCCCAGCTACTCAAGAGATTGGGTCCAGAGAGGATTGCTTAAACCCAGCAGTTCAGAACCAGCCTGGACAACATAACAAAACCTCATCTCAAAAAACAAACAAATAGGATGCCCTGTGCAGGATGGGGAACAGCCAGACCCAAGCTACTTCCCGTGAGTCACTGCCATTTGCTGACTCAGGGAAGAGAGAACAAGGCCACACCAGCAAGCAAGCCCTGTCTCGGAACCAGTGCCATGTGCGGGCTGCCATAGGACTGGGAACAGCCAGACTCAAGCCCCTTCTGGTGCGTGGGCTGGTAAACAAGAAGAGCCAGTCCTCCTCTTCCCAACCCATTAAGTGATCTGGAGAACTGATCCGGAGAAACACGGGCTGCAATGATAACCATTGAGGTGAAATGCAATTTGATGCTGGTGGTGTTTGGTGTTTCACTGATCTTGCAGGTCTATCATCTATTCAGAAGATAGTAGTATGCAGTGTGGCATCTAGGGGCCATCTCCTGCCGAGGGTGGTAGCCATTGTTGATTCCCTATGATCTTGTTTTGGAAGTCCTATATCATTTCCATTGTTTTGCTGGATTGGGTTTTATTCTCTTTTGTTTTGTTTGATTATGTCAAATCCGATGGCAGGAGCAGCTATTTCAAAGACAGCAAGGTATATTATGGTAGCCATTTTGGATTTACTATTGGCTTGTTTTGAAATCCTTTATTGCATTCTTTTTTTAATTGTTTCTATTCCTTTCTGTTCTGTTTGATTTTTACTTTGTCCAAAGTTATCTGCAGCTATTTTGAAGACATCAAAAGGTATTATGATACTATTATTGATTTTGTAATGTTTTGAAGTCCTGTATCTCTTACACTTACACTCTTTGTTTTGATTGGTTTCGTGCTATTTTATCCTCTTTAAAATAAAATAAAAAATAGTTGCAGAGGATGTACTTAAGTATTGCTATTTCAAAATAAAACTATTACATCAGTCTTTTAAGTAAATTCATTGATATTGACACACCATCGCAATATGACACCTATGATGATCCATTTTAATATTTGGAAAGCAACTTCTAATAGGACAGAAATTTATCCCATTCTTTTTATACTTACACTCATTTCCATTAACTTTATCCCTAGACTTTTATCCCAATATACTGTGCTTCTATATTTAAAAATGTCTTCAAGCACCCTTTTGTAGTCTATGCATATTCTATGCACTAAAATTATGTCTAAAACGTGTACTAGAATATTCATTTATGATCAAAACAACATAAGCATGATACAAATTTTGATAGTTATTCAGTTTCAAAAGTAATTTTATAGGATATACATCTCTTCTTGAGATGGATAGAACTTTTTATATATAGCTGTAGAAGATTAATATTCATTGCAAGAAGATATCTCTGTATGCAAATACTGAGAAATATTGCTTGTATAAATAGGTAGGAATGGATGGAGTTTTATTAAAGCAATACCGCTCAATTTTAAAAGTTCCTTCTGAGTTGTATGTCAACAACCTTTTTATAAACGAACAAAAATTATACTCAGTGTTGTATTAGCTGACAACTTGATCATACTTCAATTTATGTCCTACCTCAATTTAGTTTCAAGCAAAAGCTTGGAGATCATTTGATATACAAAGGATTTGTAATCCTACCCTTTGCCTTATTGGCTTTCTCAATTGCCTACCCAGTATTTTCAGCTGTACCTCTGTTTGGGGCTTCAGAAATACTCCTCTTCCTCTTGACTGAAGAAGGGTAACTTGGCACCCACTCCAAATCTCCGTGTAGAGGGATAAGGGCTGCATGGAAGGAGATGCCTGTAGCACAAGAGAGTTCACTGTGAGGTCAATTTAGAAGATGGTTAATTTCAAAACGAAGGATCTAGAATGGCAGGTGAGTCCCTTAAATTGGAATCCCCAGGACCCCTTGAAAGTCTTGGCATGAGCTCAAGGGGTTCACATATCCTAGACACTCGCCCAGCAAACAGGACAGCAGCTGCTATAGCTCAGTCTCTATTTAGAGATAACCAAGGCCTCCTGGCGAGACGTGGAGGCTGCCTGCCTAATTGGAGAGTGCCTCCTGATCCAGCACTCCCAGAGCTGCCTACTGGTTCTGCCGGTTTCCCCACTTCAGAGAAAACAGCTCTTGGCTTCATCTTCCCTTTTAAGACAAATTCTTTTGTTAAACTTCTCCAGATATGTCCTGAAGCTTACCTTCAGCCTATATCTCAGACTTGTTTCTTTGTCTCTTGGAGATAAATTGTTTGGGTTCAAATGTTTAGTTGCTGTTGTACTTTGGAAAGCTAGTTGCTAAGCTACTGTTTCCTCTTATGAAAGTTTTGGTGGGGTAAAGTGATTGAGGTGAAGTTCTGAGCAGAGTGTGAGGAACAGTAAGCACTTAATAGACGTGAGATATTATTATTGGTGTTAAGCTTTAAATTTGGCTTATCCTTTAAATCTTCTTGGGAGAGGCTATGCTCATCCTCTCAAGCCTTGTTTTAATCATCGTGTTACTTTGATCCTTATTAGCATCATATTACTGGGGAAGGTTGAGCCAGAGACTTACGTGTGTCAAGTAAAGGCTGTGGGGAGCATCAGAACTTCAGAAATTAAGGACACCGCCCCATGTCTGAACCTCTCAGCCTAAACTCAGTTTCAGCATTGGTCTGCGCTTTCTAGCTGGGGCAAATTACTCACCCCTCCACTTGTCCTTGGCCCAGTGGAAAGGGTAAAGGAGCTTTCAGGCTTGAATCCCACGGTATCACTAATGGTTACTGAACTTTGGCGATAAGCTTCCTGGAACATATTCCATCTTTCACAAAATATGGTTAGCAATAGCCATTTTAGCGTTATTGAGATGGTCCAATGAGTTAAGTCAGTGAAATTCCTTGCACAAGTCTGGCAGAGAAGAAGCCTCCTATTGTTGCTGAATGTTACAACGTGCAGTAGGTAATTACGAGGCAATCTCCCCATAGTGGCCACAGTGAGGAAAATAGGCATGACTTGGGCAGATAAGATGGTCTCACATGTCTGGAAGACAGATAAGTTGGCTTGCTCTGCTCTGGTGGAAGTTGGTAGGCAGCTAGAGGTTGGACTTTAGTGTCTAATTGAATTTGGACAATTTTGAAGTCGAGCTCTTTTTGTATTCACCATTTGGGATGCCAGCCTAGTTGACTGTGACTCTCTTAACTCACCATCCCTGTCTAAGCACCGGGCTTTTTGGCAGCCATGTTTATGCCATGTGATCTCATCCCCTCTGACTGGACCAGGGTTGGTGCCTGGCCCAAAGTGAGGTCATCGAATTTTCTTCTGCGGAGAATTTAGAACTGGTACTAAAGGGTTGCCTTTTCACTCTGGGATTTAATGTTAAAGCAAGGGTGATAAAATCTGGGTGATAGGGCATGGTCTTCTATATGAATAGAGAAACAGAGAAAGACAAGTTGTAACATGTAAGCAAGTGAAATTAAAACACACACACACACACACACACACACACACACACACGGTAGAAAAAAATGTGTAGTCCCAAGTTCCTAACAGTTCCTACTTCCTGTTTCAAACCAGTTCTCAGGCCTGGTGCATTCTTGCCCTTGGATTTCATGAGACACTTCTAAGTCCTTAATGATAGACCTACCCTTTTATTGCTAGCACTGGATCATGTTGAAACTACTTTCCTCGTAGGTTATAGAGACCGACTTGATCTAGTGTAGGTAAAAAGAAGAAATCAGTACAAGGTGCTGGGGGAAGCTCATGAGACCCAGGAGGTTTGGACAACTTGGTTTTAGGAGGTGCCAGCACCAGCACAGCTTCGTATACTTTAGCCAGAGATGGAAGCTGACTTGCTTCTGAAATGTGGCCATTAAGCTGCCTCAGTTTTGAATTTCTCAGTTCAAATTTCTGGCACAGAGAGGGAACCTCACTAATCCATGGTGAGCCCACTAGTAATAGCTAGAGGGCAGCTTCAAGCAGAAGCCACATAGTGGCCGAAAGACTTTAACCATGAGGACAGGATGTGCCATTCTCTAAGAACAGAGAGTGGGTGGTGAGCAGCCTGTTCAAGTGATGTTCCACATAAGCTGGCTTTTGCACCTGCCCGCAACTTACTGTGAGCAGGAAACTGAGCTTCTCTCTGAGAGGGATGAGGAGACTTATAAAATAAGACTGACAGCAAAGCATGTAGAGCCTGCCCACAAATAATTATACTCAAAGGCAGCCTGCCATCACTGATAGGGGAGAGATATAAGCACGAAGGGCTCCTGGGACTTAGAGAAGGGCAGATACCTTTGAGCTGTGGTGACTCTATTCCTGATGTCAGCCATGAAAAAGAAACATCTTCTTGAATAAAACACAAAGAACACACTTGCCCTTAACAGCCACCAGAAGGAGCATGTGAAATCAGATGTAAAATGTGGTGAAGCACGTGTATTAGGGGACTAATTTGTAGAATGAAGCACATTGATAAAATGCAAATTCACCAAACAAAAAGTGAACAAGCGCAAGCTGATCATGCCAGGGTTCTCTCTGAATTCTAAGCAGATAAATCACCATCCTGTAGTCCTTGGTTTTGGGTCTGATCATGAGCCTCTGGCCAGCTAGTCTCCCCTCAACTCTCATCTACTCTGTGTGCTCAGGCTCTTCTGCACTCAGGCAACTCTCTTGATTGGTCAGCAGAAGTCTCCCATTTTAAAGCTAATACATTCTTAACCTTCACAAAAATCCCCTTCATATCTTTGCTTCAACCAACCCAGGTGACTTCATTTGTTTTTCTGGAGTCAAACACCCATGTAGGAATATTTTTCCACTTGGTTTCAAAACCTTCTCTGGCTTTTCGTTGTATTCTATGCTTTAGACTCATGCATCCTACTGCCTGCTGGCTGCCTGCTGGGAGGGACAGCCAGCCTGGTGCATTCAGAAATATTTCTATCCAGGTTGTCCCAGGTATTTCCAGCTCAATGAACTGGATTACTTTTGTTCACAAGCTCTTGGACGTTATCTGTTCTTTCTCACTGTGTTCTCTATTGCACTCATAATATGCATCCATTCCACAGTCTGGAAGTGAAATTGGATTCTTATCTTCCCCCTCCCTACCTGTCCAGTGATCACTGAGTTGTTATAATCTATCTTCTCAGTATTTCTCCAATTTGTCCCTTTCCTTCTCCATGTCCCCCTCAGTCCCTTGTGTAATAGTTGGGGTTTGCCAGAAAAAGAGAACTGATATATTTATGTGTAGAAAAAGGAACTTAACAAGGAGACTATTTCACATGATCACAAAGGCTAAGATATTTCGTAATAAATTGTTCATGGCTGGAAGGTTAGAGAAGTTAATAACATGGCTTAATCCAAGAAAAATAATATGGCTTAATCCAGAGCCAAGGAGGCCAACAGTGCACCTCCAAGTCCCAGGTCAAAGGCCCAAAGGGCCAGTAGTGCAAGTCCCAGAGCCCAAAGGGTAGAGACCTCGCGGTTTGATATCCAAGGCTGACAGCACAGAGATCTCACCCTGTGTCCAGAGGAAGAACCAAAAAACACTCTTGCTTCTTCCATTTTCCTGGTCTATCAGTCCTCCAGCGGAGTGGATAGTACCCTCACACACAGAGCTGATCCTTGCATCAGTCTTTTCTGCAAACACCCTCACAGATATACTTAAGAGTAATGCTTTGTCTGTGCTCTAGGCATCCCTCCAGCCAGCCAGGTGGACACCAGAATTAGCCATCACACCTGAACTGGCTTAATGCTCTACTGTTTTTTTTTTTTTTTTCTTCCTCGTTATCTATTGTGGTGTGACACATTTCTCCAAAATTTAGCTGTTAAAAACAAGGTACATATATTAACTCATGTAGTTTCTGGGGTTTGGGGTCTAGGAGGAGCTTAGCTGGTGGTTCTGGCTCAGCGTTGCTTACCATATTGTGGTCATGTTGACTTCCAGGGGTGCAGTCACTTCCAGGTACCAGTGGGGCTGGAGAACCTGTTTCCATACCTCCCCATGTGTGTGCAGGGGACCCAGCCTCACGGCTGTTGGTTGGAGGCTTCCGTCAGCCTCTCCATAAGTTGCCTATGCATCATGGCATGGAAGCTGGCTTCTCCCCAGGTTCTGGGTGGGAGGAAATGAAGGAGGGGTGAGGGAAGCCACTGTCTTTTAAAACCTAATTTCCAACCTCTGCTATATTCTGCTGGGCTCATGGATCATGAGGGGTGTGTGTTAGTAGTCTAATGAGAGGATCCTTGGTGGTCATCTTTGAGGTTAGCTCTCACCATGTTGATTTACTACTGTCAGGTAAAACAGTCGCTCAATATCCCTTTGGAGACACCACTCCATCCCCACTGTCAAGTTATAGTATGAATGTGGCTCCTATTTCTGACACAAATCTCCATGTGTAGCAGTGTCTTGATTGCCTAAAGCCCTCAATGTACCCAATCCACTATGGACTAAATGTGTGTGTCCCTTCAAAATTTTTTTTTATTTAAAAGGAAAAAGAGAAAAAAACAGAACAAAGCAAAACAGTATAAGGGTACAAGTAATATAGAACTACAAAAGAAAAAAAACAGTAAGATATCACCAATTAATAGATTACACACTATCGTCTTTGAAACAGTGATTCAGGTCACAGGATCAAAGCATACAAAGTGAACATTCAAATAGTGAGACTGCAAATAGCTGTGTTCAATGATCCAATCAAAAATATTAATATGGTCAGCTATTTAACACACCTAAACACACTTGCTGTTGTATCCTTTTGGGCACTTTTTTTTTCCTTCTCTTTATTACAACAAATTTACACATTTTGGGTTTTATTGCTCCCATAGATCTTATTACTTTTTTTTGTAAGAGAATAAAATCAAACATGATAAAACAAAGCTGTCAGTCAAAACCAAGGATAGACATAGCACATGATGTAAAAACAGAGTACAAGGTTATTAACAATGGTTACCATAATGCGTCTTGCTTCCTTAAGAAGAATTGTCCATCTCATTAGGTATAATAAAATTGAACAAAACAGTAGAGAACAAGTCCAATAAAACCTAAACATTGTAAACCTTACAGAACGTCAAAAGAGGATAATAGTCACACCAGAATGGGCATCAAGTGAATCTTATTGCCTTCAAAGTAATTTCC